AGTAGGTGAATATAGTAATAATATATCAATTGATTTTCAAATAGTCTACTTCTTTTATTTAACCTCGCTTTTATTCTAAGGAGTTAACCGGTGCGTAAAAAAATGCATAGTAAGAAGTTGGCTTGATTAACAAAACTCTCAGTACATCAGCTTTCTATAAACGCATATTTTTTAAAACAAATCGGTGACAATCAGAAACTGTGCAAATAACGATTTCTTGCCAAATAAAACTACAGGAAGATCAAAATCAATAGTTTAGCATAAGTTTTTTTTTTTGTGCTTCAATGCCGCCGCCCACACAAGTTCATTGAACGGCAAATTGCAAATTGAAATTGGAATTTCACACAAAATATTTCAATTAGCATTTTTTGCTTAACAACTGCTTTCCACACTGACAAGTAGAAATATTAACGAATGCGACCATCCAAGAAGGTAACTCTGAAAGAAATTAGGAGGCAGTATAAAAATGTGGGCAGCGGAACGTATCTTAATTATTTTCTGGACCTTTAAACTTAGGACAATGAAAACTTGCACAATACTAGCACTGTATCTTTTATAACTATATTGGGCAAAACAGCTGGAGGCAGCCAAATAATTTAATATTGTGATGAAGTTAAGTCTCATAGAAATCTAAACCACACCTTAATTGGACAAGATTTACCGTGTTGACTAGTTCCAAGCAAATATAATTTTCATTTGATTCCAATCCTCGTCTGATTCCACAACAATGACAATCATAATCCTTTTTCACATTAAACATAAGCACCCTGACTTTATTTCACTCGGAAGGTTATCTTAAGTTGCTAAAAGTTTTCTGAGAAATAAATGCAAAAGTTACCTGGCAAAGAAAGAGGAGCGGCCATTTCTTGTTGCATCGATTCGTACCAACCTTTTGACGGAATGATGAGAGCCATCTTCGAAGACGTCACTTTTAAAAGTCATACAGAGTGACGTGTTAGTTTTCATTGTTTTTTTTTTCCTCGGTCCTTGCTTGTGCATTTGCATCACATGCATAACTTAATAGATAAAGAAAAAGAACTTTTAGCACGAAGCTGGAATCCTTGAAAGATAACTCCATAGAAATCAAACACAATTGTGAACAATCATCTCAGTTCCCTTGAGGGCATAACGCTATTTGCATTCCCATAAGTTGCTTAGTAGATATCATTGGTTTGCTCATCAGTGATGAGGAATATATAATTGTAAAAGTTCAAAACAAATAGTACATCTCCCCAAAACAACGATAGCAGACCAGAATCACATTAAACGCACCCCCGGCATTATATATTGAAATTGCTGAAACATTGGGTGTCTTCTTGATAATGCATTTATTGATATTCGTTGGTGTCATCTCTAATATCATACTTTATAGCTATGATAACCAACAAAAATAACACTTGCTTCCCTGGCAAACAGCCTGAATTTTGATGTCATGAATTATGTGCATCACAATTCAATATCGGGTGGTGACTTTCCTATATTCTTAATAACTCAGGGACCTTGGATAAAGAGCTTAGTTCTAGAGAACTTCTCCAAATATCAGCCTATGAATCAATTTTGTCTCGGTGGTCAAAAAACAAGTCATCACAGCTGATAAAAGTAACTATTTAAAACAGCCATTACACAACAGCTGGTTTCCTGCCAAAATGTCGCCTTGGATTTGTCGATTCATCACGATCCGATTGAATTTTCAATAACACATGCCGAGGTGAGGAGAAGGGGTGAAGCTAAATATCGTATCGTAGTACTGTACTTTGCAATATTTGTGGCGATTCCAACAGTGATTTCATAATTTTCCGTTTGTTTTTTTGGTTGTCTGTCAGACTGTTTGTTTTTTACTTTCTAATTTTGTTGTATAACAAAAAATATATATTTCCGACTGTAAAATCAGCCTTGCTTCTTTAGTATATCCTATTTTCGTTCAAGAGACTATGAATCGATCCTGAAGTTCAGAGGCACATACCCGTTTCGGCCAAATAAGGGAATGTCCCTTTGTATGTCCCTCCGAAGCATCTTGCGAACAAGCTCTCCACGCGGCTCATTCTCGTGTAACCTACGAATCTCAGGGTGGTTCTGGTGGGAGCACTGAGCGTGGCGTAAATGGCATTCTTAGACATTTTTTTTCCCTAACAGAATCAGCAGGATGCATGTGGAAATGTAAAGCCTTTTTACGAAACCATAAAGAAAATAGAGAGTTTAAACTTCACGTCAGTATACCGCTAACGGCAAACGTCAGATTCAAGTGTTTTTTTTTTTTTTTTACAACTTTACATGCAAAAATAAGATCTACACTACACTTTATCCTGGAAAATTAATCAATATTTTATACAAGACATCAGAAATAAATAAATATAAATAACAATAAAAAACAGAGAGAAGAGGCCGGGAATTGACTCAATTTAGGGAACATTTAAATTACGTTAAATGCATGGTGTTTGATTTTTCCCTTTTTTTTGACGGTATTCTACTCTACTCTCCTCTCCATTGTGATTTCTATCCTAATTCAACTTAATGTGTCTCCTGAAGATATTACTTTTAACTTTCTCAATGGATCGAATCAGCCTCGAACATACAAAGATAATAGTTTACAATATAAATTAAGTTTCATTGTATATATTTTAATTTCTGGAGAAAACAGTGGAAAGGCGGTAGAAGACAAAGTTAGACATACATGTACCCAGCACATTTCTCTACTCATAAAGAGTCGGCCCCAAAAAATAAACAATACGAAAAAAACACGAAAAACAATGACGAAAAAAACACAAAAAAACAATGACGAAAAATAACAATAGCCACAAAGAACTGACACGATACTTAAAAATAAAAATAGCGGCCAGCCAAAGCTGTTAATTGTGCCACCTTTGACTGGTAACTTGCAATCTTTGGTCTTATTACTAAGACTCTGGTTTTTTGCCTCCACTACGCAACCGAACACACAAGAAAACACTTGGAAAACTAATGGGCGCGTCGGTCAGCCAAGCCCATGCTAAACTAAACAAAGCAAGTTGACGCGGCGAGGCCGACCGTAGAATGACACGCCGGTCGGCTATATCAAACCCCGTAACCGCGATCCCTCGCGCGCTACACTAGAACCCAGTCCTCCGTTCCTTGCCGACAAGTCAATTTCAATTTACACAAATTATATTTTGCTCCACAAAACACATCTACACAGACATCTTGCCCGACCCAGTCTCTTCAGATTCAGGATGAGAATTTCTCAAAATAGAAAATGAGAAGATAAAAACAGCTCAGAACAATTCTTATGGATAAAAAATTGCGTGAAACAAGAAACAATGAACAGTAACCGACAACTAAAGGGGAAACTTCGTCTTGTGGTACAAATTCGCGTTTGCCGTTTGACGTAAACGCCCGGGGGGACTCCGCATATGACAGGGGTGGGGATGCTCGTGGGAAATTTTTGAATTAAACCCCAAAAGGAGACCGATCTGGGCGTGGCCCAAGCTTTTTTTGACCCCTAAAAGAGACCATGTTAACACACAGACAATATAAATGTTTTTATATTTTTTCGCGTGCAACCCTAAACGAGACCTTCACGGCTAAATACCCTTTACCCTAAGAGAGACCGAATCCGAAATTTAAACCCCCAAGCAAGACGACGAGCATCCCCACCCCTTTCATATGCGGAGTGCGGAGTCCCCCCCTCCCCCCTTAGGGTGGGATAAATTCTGCTCGTAAAATGGCTTATTCTGCCTGCCAGCAGTGCTGGTAAAAATCGCTCTCTGCTCAAAATTCTGCTCGGACACCTTTCTTTTTTTCGAGTCTGCTCGGTACCCGAAAACATTTCCGGCCCTTTGGCCGTATTTATTTTCGCAAATATAGAAGGGAGCCTGGGCCAACCGCCCAAACCCGCCCCTTAAACTAATTAGATATTCATTATACGTAGCAAAATTGCAATTCATCTTACTTTTAATTGGCCTAAATTTTAGAAGATTTCTTCGAGTCGTTTTCTCCTCTCAGCAACACGTTACTGAGAGATTAAAAACGAGTCAAAATAATCGTCTAAAATTCAGGCTAACTTTTAATGTGAGTGTGTTGTAGTTATTCTGAATAATCAAATTAATCACAGAGTATTTTCCATTTGTTTTTTATTTAGTTGTAAATTTTCTTACAGTTGTTATGCATATCATTAGTGCCGCTGATTTTCCCTTGTTCTGCTCAAATTCTGCTCGAAAAAGCAGAATACTCGCCTCAAAAGTCGCTTATTCTGCTCTTAATTCTGCTGGCAGAATTTATTCAAGCCTCAGTCCAAGCCTATTAACCTTTCTAATATTAAATCCCTGTCTCATGCTAAGTGTAAGCAAATTCGTTCCGTAACGTTTCTTTTTTTAGCAAAAAGGGTCTTTACTTTGTTCCCAGGGTAAAAATTTCATCCTGCCAAAAGATCGAGAGACCCTGAGAACGACTAGAAGTCGAGGTTAATAAGCCATTAACGCACAAAAAGTTCGACATGTGCTCTGGGCTGTGCGCCGTCACTACCCTGTTTTAAAATTTTGTTGAGATTTAAAAAATTTCAGCGAAGTTTTTACCGTCTTTTTATTACCTTAATCATTTCAAAACCTTCTTTCGACATTTCATCTGATTTTCTTGAGAAATATTTCAAACTGGTGGTCAGCTCACGTGCAAACTCACCCACACTCCCCGTCAAATCACCAGTTCGACGCACGCGCTCTTGACCTGTTCTTGTTTCGTAACGTTACGAAAACGTGGACTTTCTGGACCACAAATTCTATCGCGCGTGAGCTCAAGTGTGAGGTCTCCGGAAACATCCAATCACATTTCGCGTTACGTAATGCTGTAATGGTAATGAGTGCAATCTAATTTGTAATTCACCTGTCACGGCATACACACGCACGTGTATTTTGCCGGATGTACATGGAGTAAATAAACTAGGCATTGACCCAAAGACTCAGTCCGTGATCGGCAGTCTATGTTTCAAGTTCTCAAATTTTCTATCTACGAATCTGATCGAACATATTGCTATGGAGTTACTCACTGTAGCAAGCCCAGAGAGCTTTCATGGTAAGAAAGTTGTTGTTTGTTTGATGCTAGCATTTTTACCGGCGATGCAACGGTTAACCCGGTTAGGAGCGAGAGGGCGCTTTGAAATGTACAACGTGGTCGTTGTAATTTAAACCATAGTAAATTGCTTTAGTTATCAAGCATAATTGTAATCACAAAGCATTCTTAACGGCATAGGGTAAAATATAAGAAAAATGTTGGCAAGCGGCAAGTTAAAATTATTTAAAGCACAAGCTTTCACACCGTTACTGCAACCTTTCCCTATAAACGGCAAGGGGAGGGTCGCGCTTGTATAGTCTTAATTACAAATAATTAAAATTTATTTTCTTCGAATGGACTACCTTACCCGTGCTTTACATGGAAGATCCACTGAAAATTCTAGCATTATTTTTAGTCTTAGTTGTGTTAATTCTACCATTCCTTCCTATATTGACTTAGAACTCGTAATGGCAGTCACGAGTACTGATACTGCACAGGGGAGGGGAAAGGAGACGAAATTTTAGAAGGGAACGGAGGGGATATGCTGATATGCAATTGTATTAGAATTCACACCAATTTGAAAAATTGGCCTTTTGGGGGCAGGTGGGGGGCATTGGGTGTTGATTACCAGTGGATGAGATTCTGATCTGAATTTTATTTCTCCTTAAGGATATATCTTTGATTCCTCATATATAGTGCTCGTAGAAGCAAAGAAGTTACACTGTAAATGTCCGATCGTAAACAAATGTCATGATTTAGACCATAACAATGTGAGCCACTGAGAATTACCATTTTGAAACACACCTTGACGAAAGATAATAAATATTGTTCATGTGACAATTTGAGCATCCTATCAGCCAATCAGTGACCTTCTTTTGTTTTTACGCCAACTTTGAACTACCTTTGTGTTCATTACAATTTTTTGAAGAGAGAACGAAACCAAAAGGGCTTGACTGGTGTGTATGTAATATTTTATTTTTTGAAATAATTTGTTAATGCAAATTACCTGGTGTTTGTTCACATGTCTAGAACAAAGAGAATTATTATACGTGAACGTTTGGAGACATAGATTGGACAATATTTTTGTATTGTAATAGAGATCCAGCTGCAATCCTTCTCTGCTTCAACTTCTGAGATATTGGTGTGGCACTTGAAGATTAATTCCATATCTCTGCGTGCTCATGTATCATTCACTACATGCTCAGTGGTACCGTAAGAACTGCCCATAGGGCAACAGTGTGAAGAGGATAAGCTCTTATAATCGGATTAAGTAGAACCAAATGTTTTGATACATATCTGCTGGCACAGTGGTGAAGCCATGATTTCTAACAGAGGGGTCAAATTAAGTGACACTGTTTTTATGTCTAGACTTCTTTGTTGCTATAAATTTTATTCTCACAAAATCAAGTATGCATTTTTCTACATACCTTTTCAGGGCCGTAGCTAGCATGAGGCAAGACGAGGCAGTTGCCTCATCTTAGTTTTGCCCTTTTTTTTTTTTTGGAGAAACGTTTAACTGAGAAAATAATCCCTAGAAATAAGTGGATTGGTTAAGATAAAACCAGGAAATATAAGGTGGATTAATTGCGGGGAAAAGCATTTTAATGAGGTTAATTCGTTTCATGTGGACTGTGAGTAACAGTTTTTCAAATGCTTTAAAATGCAGATGGTCATTTACTTGGCACCAGCAGTATCACCAAGCAATAAATAAGTGAATTTCTACACTTGCCCAAGATTGACTTTTCTGAAGAAAAATGCCACGGAAAATGCTTAAAAGAGCATTTCTGAGCCGCTAGATTTCAAAATTTTAATGGGGGGGGGGGGGCATGCCCCCAGACCCCCCTAGAGGCTTGTGCCTTCAGTGCCCGAAACTTGCCTCGCCTTGTGCTGGCTATGGCCCTGCTTTTGGTAGTAACAATTTCAGTCTCAAAGCAAAACATCATTGGAATACTAGGAAATTGTGTATATTGACAGATGCATTCAAGGGGGGTCCTTACCTCCTTGTAGATCTGGCACTGTGGCCTCTGTACTGGATGACATACCAAGGCCAAAAGAGTTACTTTTCTTTGGCACTTAATTAGTTTAGGAGCTTCACAGAGTCCTCATATACCTTTCCTGCTTCCATNTAGATTTCAAAATTTTAATGGGGGGGGGGGGGCATGCCCCCAGACCCCCCTAGAGGCTTGTGCCTTCAGTGCCCGAAACTTGCCTCGCCTTGTGCTGGCTATGGCCCTGCTTTTGGTAGTAACAATTTCAGTCTCAAAGCAAAACATCATTGGAATACTAGGAAATTGTGTATATTGACAGATGCATTCAAGGGGGGTCCTTACCTCCTTGTAGATCTGGCACTGTGGCCTCTGTACTGGATGACATACCAAGGCCAAAAGAGTTACTTTTCTTTGGCACTTAATTAGTTTAGGAGCTTCACAGAGTCCTCATATACCTTTCCTGCTTCCATAGAGTATTTTCTACCCATATTTACCTCAATTTCTAAATAAAAATTTGTTCCGACAACTCCCGAACATTACCGAAGATGTTTCAATGATTTCCGAAGGTTACCGTATGTAGCAGTGGAAAGCGCTTGGACTAACCAAATGGAAGAAAACTTAGCCTTATTTAGTAATTCATGCTAACACTGATTCTTTTCCCCACAGATGAGGAATGTTTCCGTTTTCAGCAAGGAGACGATAGCGGTCTAAGTTCCTGTCCTTCGACCCCCACGACGACAGAAGACAACGAATCTCTTTCAGATATATTTGATTTGAGCTCTTCTTTGTGTGATAGTCTGAACTTGAGCCTCTTCGATGGCGATCTTCCGAACAAATTGCTCACTCATATTAAAATTAAAACCGAAGACGACGTCAACGATGAACTGTGGCAGCCAGTCCCCGGAACACCGTCTTGTATCGTCAACAACAGTTCGAGTTTCTTGGACTCGCTCGATTTTGGAGTAATAGACGAACTGTTTGGCCCAACGGTAGACCCAAGGGATATTTTTAAAGCCATTGAAAAGCCTTCTCAGAGAGAGATTGTCTCCTCGGAGATACTAGCTGATGTGACAAATTCTGTTACTTGCTCAAACATTTCTTCACCTGTCGCCGAAGTGGTGACTACTCCGAGAGACACTCCTGAAGAAATCGAGCAGAACATTTTCAAACGCGAACTTAGAACGAGGCGAAAGAGAGTGCAGTTAAATATTGATCACGATTATTGTAAATCTGCGGAGCTGAATGATTCGGAGGACGAGCTCAAGGCTGATGAGGAAAGCGATGAGGTGTCAGATGATGATGAAGACTACACGGCTCCATGCCCGGCGAAGAAATCCCGCAAAACGAACTCAAACTCTGTCGAGAAAGGCAAAGGCAAAGACGCTAAATACTGGGAGAGGCGCCAGAGAAACAATTTAGCGGCCAAGCGATCTCGCGAGGCAAAACGCGCGCGAGAAATACAAATCGCTAAAAAGTCTGTTGCGCTGGAGAAAGAAAACGCTAATTTAAAGAAACTAGTCCGGAAGCTTAAAGCGGACATTAAAAAGGCTGAAAAGAAATTGCGCATTATGATATGAAAATAAGACTTCGAGAGCGGCCACAATAATCCGAGAACGAAGTATGACTCACAGAGATTGTGAGATGCCGGTATCGGCTAAACATCCGCCCAGGATAGTCATCCCCAAGCAATTATGTAGAAATGTGTTAATTTTCTCACATTACCTACATTCTTCAACATTTCCTCTCTGTTTTTCTTGCCTTTTTATTCTGTGAAATTGGCTAAGGCAGCTAACATTCCCGCGCGGGATTATTTATTCTAGAAGCCTTTATGTAGACTCGGTTCTTCTGTTAAGTCGAGCCATAGCTCTGGAGACTATTGAAGTCGACTGGTTGCTCGCTTGTAAATCGGAGTATTCCTTGTTCTATAAATGAAGGTTTTGTGTAGCCTGGCACTAGGCTCCGCAGTGGGGTGAAACAGCAATTGAATCGGTGAGAAGTAGGCCGGGAGGGGGAAAGGGCGCCCCCCTTTCCCCTCCCCAGACTACCACTAGGCTCGCTTCGCTCGCCAATTTCTTTTCTTCTTTTTCCTCCAATGCGGAGCCTGTGCCTAGGATAGGTTTTGTTAAGCTTGGTTAACAATGAATTGAATGAAATTATTCGCGCGAATCACACCGTTTTGTGATCAGATGTATACTTTTCTAAACTTGTGCGATAATTTATTAAAGTTTTCCAGAAGTCAAACTTACGAAGTGGTTGTAGTATTTTGCATGGTACACTATTGATGGGAACAAGGCTCCTTGTTGAAAAAAGGCGGAGGCAAAAATCGGTGGGATACAGCCGCCTCCTCAGGCGCTTCGTTTTTATCATGGCAGAGGCGAGCGCGAAACGCGAGTGACTGGTGATGAACCGCAAGGGACCATGAGAAGGGTATACGGCGGCAGGCGAAGCGTCTTACCCGTTATCTCCTTCCCGCATTCCTTTGCACGAACATTTTTATCGAAAGAGAGACGTCTGGCTACGAGGTAGGGTGGGATAGGGGGAGGGGAGAGGCGGTAACGTTCTCGCTGCATTTCGTGTGCATCATCTCCGCGCACACGCAAGAACCCTCCCCCGGGGGAGTGCATTCGAGCAGGGAAGCGTCTGTATAGGCTAACTTAATTGGCTTGTTGCAGAGTTATTGGCGGAGGGCAGATCGGCGGCATCGAAGGAACGTCTCCAGGCTCAGCCCCCCCTTAAGTCCTCTACTCGGTTCACTAATCACTTCTCACTCGTCCTTTTTTCCTTAAAAACAAGCCTGGTGCTACTGTACACAAAGTTTCGTTTCAGGGACCCGTGGTGTAAATACAACACCCTTGTATGCCGGAACCCAGGCACCAATCCTCCAGCACCAAGCGTCAACCGTTCCTTACGTATACTCTCCAGTGAGAAGTAGCCAAAAGTAGTGTCGCTTGTATGGTGGAAGACGTACCCACAACTCGAGCTCTGAGTCATGAGCAAAACAATCCAATAGACCAAATCATACAAGGCTTCGAGAAGGTTTGAGAAATAAGACAAAAGAATTTGTATAGATCATCATTGAATTGAAGGTGATATCTTTTAATTTTTTACTGCAAATTCCTACAAGCCTTCAAGCAACGTATGAATTTTGATAGATCGGCGTTGATTCAAAGAAAGTTTCCGCTGACGCGAAATGCGTCTTCCGACTTCTTACGATCCGGCCATTAACTGAAGTACCTAAGAAAAAGTGAGCGCAAAAATAGATATAATAAATATTGGGCTTTTTTAGTNGCGTCTGTATAGGCTAACTTAATTGGCTTGTTGCAGAGTTATTGGCGGAGGGCAGATCGGCGGCATCGAAGGAACGTCTCCAGGCTCAGCCCCCCCTTAAGTCCTCTACTCGGTTCACTAATCACTTCTCACTCGTCCTTTTTTCCTTAAAAACAAGCCTGGTGCTACTGTACACAAAGTTTCGTTTCAGGGACCCGTGGTGTAAATACAACACCCTTGTATGCCGGAACCCAGGCACCAATCCTCCAGCACCAAGCGTCAACCGTTCCTTACGTATACTCTCCAGTGAGAAGTAGCCAAAAGTAGTGTCGCTTGTATGGTGGAAGACGTACCCACAACTCGAGCTCTGAGTCATGAGCAAAACAATCCAATAGACCAAATCATACAAGGCTTCGAGAAGGTTTGAGAAATAAGACAAAAGAATTTGTATAGATCATCATTGAATTGAAGGTGATATCTTTTAATTTTTTACTGCAAATTCCTACAAGCCTTCAAGCAACGTATGAATTTTGATAGATCGGCGTTGATTCAAAGAAAGTTTCCGCTGACGCGAAATGCGTCTTCCGACTTCTTACGATCCGGCCATTAACTGAAGTACCTAAGAAAAAGTGAGCGCAAAAATAGATATAATAAATATTGGGCTTTTTTAGTTAAAACTATCTTGAAAACTGCAATTCTGATTGGATTCCATTTTAATTTGCTGTCACAAAACACCTAGAAAAAGAGACCACCGACTCTGCTCACCGTCCACGCTATTTATGATATTTATATATTTTCTCGTATTTTAATACCCTGGTGAATCAGTCCTCTAACCCGCTCACAAAAGAAATGAACTATGAGTCATGCAAACATGGAAAGGCTACAGCGCACAAAATAGAGAGTGGCGTAATACTAATTCCCAGCAGGACTTTCGCACTTTCAAGGTTGCACCTAATCACACCACATATCTCATGAACGGTGCACGTCGTGATTACTTCTCTAATGTTATCGCTGAGGCCAGCTCGAACCAGAGAAAGTTGTTTTTAACAACCAGTTCATTGCTATTTGAGCCGAATGATGTCTCGTTTCCAGATCACATACCTCCCGATAATCTGGCTAATTGGCAACTATTTTGTTTTGAAGATTGAACGTATCAATGACTCACTGGACGCCCTTCAGTCATCTGAGTCTCTTGACGGCGATGACGATGCGTCCGCAGATAACATGGGCGCATGCGCAAACTGCGTTGATCCTGATCTGCGCGAATGTGCAGAGTTCCCAAACTTCAAGACCTTGACACAAGGCCAAGTTTCTTTAATTATTGGAAAGGCAGCCATGAAATCTTGTCCTTTAGATGCTGCACTTACATCTGTGGTTCTACAGGTTCCTGATAAACCGTTACCGGTAATCACCTGTATGATCAACATGTCGTTTGAATCTGGTCTGTTTGCAGAGGAATGGAGGTAGGCCCTCGCATTACCCACGTTAAAGAAGTGTGGTCTAGACATCGCGTACAAAAACTTTAGTCCAGTAAGCAATCTCCCGTGTGTCTCTAAGTTATCTGAAAGAGCAGCTGCTGATCAACTGATTGATCATATGACGATCTTAACAATGGACCGCACCTTGAGCTACAGTCGGCGTACAAGAAACATCATAGTACTGAATCAGCGCTTTTAAAAGTGAGGAACGATATCTTATTGAATATGGATGCGCAGAAGGTGACCTTAACTTGCTGGTTCTTTTAGATCTCAGCGCAGCTTTCGATACTGTACGCCACGACATCGTGCTGGATCGGTTAAGGTCAAGACTTGGTGTGACTGACCAGGCACTCATGATCAACTGGTTTACATCTTACATCTGACCGCACACAGCTTGTTGCAGTTAATGGAGGGCTGTCAGATACCTTAGAGAACGTGAATTCTGTGTTTGATCAGTAACAGGATGGTATCTATGTTTCTTTTAAGAAGGGTATCACAGCCTGCTATTTCCTTAGGTTGTGAAGATACAGCCTAATTTTCAAACACAATCAGAACGTTCGTAATTCCTGTATTACAGCAAATGATTTCGGTGAAGTGAACGACCGCAGTGCACACTGGTTGAAGGTGCCCCTTGAAGTGTCAAACTGTAACAGCGGTGTGGGGACATTAAAATAAGTTAAAAAGAATAAACAAATAAATAAATTTTTTGATTAATTACAGTTAAAGATGAAAAAATAAGAATGTTAAGAAATAAGAAATTAGGAAAAACTATATACCTATGAGCAAATACGAAATTCGGGAGAACTATAGTGTACAAATGTATCCATAATCATATTTAAAATCAAGACCTGCAAAGAGAACAGTGTGAGCAATTATTATCTTCTAATAGCATCAGGCCAAGATCTACTTTTCTGATGTTATATTTGAAAAAGGACAACGTGGAAGCTTGTTTAACGTTACTAGGAACAGAGCTCCATACCTTTTGGCCCATGTACCTGAGCGAGTGCTTTCCAAAGGAGACTGTACTGTGTTAAATCTGGGTATTTTGAAGTCATGATTGCCCAATTTATCATGATTGCAGGCTGTACAAATAGAGTGCTAATGTAAGTAGGGCTGATAGGACACATGTTGTTTTTAACTTTATACATAAGAATAGCTGCGTCCTGTAGTCGCTGGTTATGTAGTGTAGATAGCCCGGACATAGCCGGATAGTAATTGACCATACGACGAATGTTTATCCCAACATCATAGCCCTTAACGCTCTTTATTGGATACGCTCAACGTCTAGAGTAGCGCGTTAGCACGGCAAAAATGCTGTATGAGATGACGGTAGGTTAAATACGGGATAACAGCTGCCTTATATAACTGTAACTTAGATTGTGTGGGTACCAGGTTCCTAAACCTCATGGGAACGCCTACCCTCTAGCTGCTCTTCTTAGAGATACTTACTTGTATGTTCATCAAGACGAAAATTTCAAAAGAAGGTTGAGTTTGATCGTCCGGGTGAACCTAATCCTGAATAGGACTGTTGATGTTGACAGTGTCTGACGTTTCGACAAGTAGTCATCTTCAGAGTCAAAGTGAGTCACGATGGTCGGTTGCTAGGGCTTTTGCTCCCGTTTGGTCTTAAATTCAATTTCTGGCTTACAGAGGGGTAGTTTATATTTCAAATGAAGCAAAACATTAGAACATCTTAATTGGAGAAAAGTTTTCTATAAATTTTTACAATTATAAAGGTATTTTTGACTTTTCTTGAAAGTATGACGTCATAAGTGACACCTATTTTTAGTAACAACGTTAAAAATTTGATAAACACTGTTCAAAATGCTACA